TGTCCTGTAAGAGTCCTCCACAGCAGCTGTGCATGGCTTTTGCCTCCCCTAACCACACCCCAATTCCATAGCAGTTCTTTGTTTACTAAACTTTCATTATTCACTGCTGTCCTTGAGTCTTGTGGAAGTGTTCCAAGGCACCTCGGTGGTGGTGGCCTTGGGGTCGGTGCCTTTGGAACTGTCAACAGGTCGTTTCTCTGAAGCTGGGCTGGCTAAGAGAACCGGGCTTCTTGGCTATATCTTTCAAGCATCTTAGTAAAAGATAAGACCAACCTTACAATCATTTCCGGTTTTAAGATTTCTTTTAATTGCCCTGTAAGTGATAGTGATATTTATTTGGTGGTTGCTTTGCCTTAGGTCTCAGCCTTGACCACTTGGTGCATGGGTGTACTGCTCCATTGACTGCTGTCACATCCCCCAAACCTTGGTGGTTTCCTGAATGAGGTACAAGGAAGCTTTAAAAGATGTGGAGATGAGAAATCAGAAATTGGTTTCCGTAAACTGAAATCAATGTGGGCGGGATGGTGTCACACTCCCAATGACTAGGCGAAAAGTGTCTCAGTTCCTTGGTCACCTGAAGGAAGTAGCTCTAGGATTGGACTGCAGTGGCTGGTGGTGGCTGAATAGTGCAGATGGGGCCATGGGAGCCATCCCCGTGGAAGGAAGTGCAGAAACATTTCTGTGAGGCTCAGAGGATCGCCTCTCAGGCCACGCACAACTCCGTGCCAAGTAGGGGTGAGGACCAGGAAGCACTTGGAAGGTTTGTTAGACATATTGACCTCCCCATGCCAGACTAGGTGGTTGCCCATTGAGAACCCTCTGGGCCTGATGGCCTGAGAGTCCACCAGCAGGGGTGGCAGCCCCTTTGATCATCTCCAAGGAAAAGGTTGGCAGAGGCGTGAAAGCACCCTGGGGGGGCTGGGAGACTCCAACCCACACTTATAGATGGCAGAGGCCTTCAGTTTTGCCTGGCATGGGAGTGAGACTGGAGAAGGCCAATCTGCACAGGTGCATGTTCTTTGCTCTTCACAAAAGAGGGGATTGGGGGATAGCATGAGCAGCGTCCCTGTGGAAGAGTACCACCCTACCCAGCAAGATCCTGCTTGTGCCCACTCCAGCACCCGCAGATAGAGGCATGGTAAATAGGGCTCTTGGCCTGCCCCTGGTAACACTGAGGGCTGTATCAGAATCAAATTGGGTGGGAGCAATAGTACGTGAAGAGGGCTCTTGCCTTACATGCAGCTAACCCAGGTTCAATCCCTGGCACCACGTGTGATCACCCCAACCCTGCCAGGAGTGATCTCCGAGCAAAACCAAACAGTCCTGAGCACTGCCAAGTGTGGAAAAAAAAACAAAAAAAACAGGCTCTGACAAAAGTTCTTTCCCTTGCCAGGCAAGGGAACACGGACCAGTAAAAAAGTTAACTGGGTGGCCAGAGGCTTGGGGAGATGGAGAAGGGATGTGAGGAATTTTGAAGAGACAGGAAGGAGGGTGCAGTTTTGTAGTGGTTATGCTAATAAAGGGTGGAAAATCACTTGAATAGGACTGACTCTAAGTAATCTAAGTAATTGTATTTACATTGGTTAAAAGAAGAAAACCCAGCTATAAAACCCAGCTCCTGGCAGAGAACAGCGCACAAAAACTCTCTTGGCCCCGTGCCTGTTTATCCTCACCGGGCCCCTTGCAGGGGGGTGGGTTTAGTTTCCCTCCCTGCCCTGAGCAAAGCTCCGGCAGCTGAAGACCTCCAGAACCAGCCACAACCATGCTGCGACCACTCTCCACACGCATGAAGGTACCAGCAGAGGAACAAAGGAATGTGGGTTCCGGGGATGAGATCTCCAAGCCTGCTCGGATCGGGGTTGAGCATCCTACACCCAGATCCTCCATCTTCCAGTAGGCAGGGGTCACACCCACCAACAGCCCCCCCCACCACGCCCAATGCCGTGTAATCCCATTAACAGCCAAGACCCAGAGACTATAAAACCCAGCTCATTTTATTATCTCATTCTTACTTTGGACAACCTGGCAGGCTACCAAATATAACCTGCCCACATGGCAGAGTCTGTTAAACTCCCCATGGTGTACCCAATATGCCAAATACCAGTAACAATGATGGGTCTCATTCTCCTAACCCTGAAAGTGCCTTGAATATGGCACTTTTTTAAAAATTCTCTTGAGGCAATCGACGAATAACAGGAAGATCATGATCGTGATCGTCCTTGAGTCCAATTTTTGTTTGTTCCTCAGGACACTGATAGGGATACAGGAAACTTCCCCACACTGAGACTCTGTGAACACTGATAGCCAGGGGTACTGTGGCTCCAGCTGAGAACATTCACTGACGAGGCTTTAGTAACTCCCGTGCAGTCCCAGAAGCTGCTGCCGCTACTGCTACAGCATTGGGATCTGCAGAGTAAGACTGAGAAGCGTCCTGAGACACAGAACACACAGGGAAGCTGGGTTTCTGGTCATTATGAGCACTTCTCATCTATAACTTATTTTCCACTTTATTTCAGATGTGTTTAAAATAAATCACAACTTAACAATGAGAAAAAATTCACACAGACCAGGAATGCTCCTAAATCTTAGGAGACTCAGGAGCAAATGTAGAGAGATTTGAATTGTAACTCCAGAACATTGGCTCTTGGTGGTTTCCTCGGCTCAGAGAACAGTTTTCTAAGTTTTTACTGTGTCACTTGGTTTGGGGGTTTTGTTGGTTGGTTTTGGGGGTACACCTGGAAATACTCAGGAGTTTTTTCCTGGCCTTGCACTGAGGATTCACTCCTGGCAGTGCTGGGAACCATACCAGATGCCAGGGTTCAAACTCCTGGTGGGCAGGTTGCAAAGCAAATGCTCTACAAGCTGTACTATGGCTCCAGTCCCATCACTTGGTTTTACTGATTGCTGGGAAGTAATGGCATTGTTTCTGGAATTGTTTCTACAGAGTCCCCACCCAGTCAGCAGAAGGTGAACTGAAACATGTTGCAAACAGGACTTTGAACCTCACCGCAAATTCACTTCTGATCAGAACCCCAGAACAGTTTCCCTTTGGAGTTTAATCCAGTGAACATCCTTGTGCAGACCTCAGTAAATTCACACTACTGAGGAGACTGACAACGAAACTGTGAGTGTTTGGGGTAGAGAGTGAAAATGCAACGCCAATATTTGCTCAGTGAGTCTAATGGTCATATGTATGTGTGTGTGTATGTGAAAGAGAGAATGAGAGAGAGAGAGAAAGAGAGAGAGAGAGACAGAAAGAGATAGATAGATAAAAATAGAACAACTAGAAGGCATGATGTTCTCTGGGTCCTTGGGATTCCTGCATCTTGTACCTAGAAATCACATCCTTGATAGTATTCGGGGATGTGTCTAGATTTCATCAATATATTTTTTAAATAAATCTATGATATAGCTTATCTGTCTGTAGGCTGTAATTTATCATTTTAGAAAAACTGCATATGATGCTACTGTGTAAATAAGCATGTTGCGAAAAACTATGGATCTGTATATAATTGTCACTGTCAACCCTAAAACTATGTATAAGAATAAGACCTTTTTCTCTGGCGTATGATGTGTATGATTATTTGAATTTTCACTTCTCCAATAATAAATGCTGTGGATATTGTAACATGTATGAGGAATTGAGTCTTTGTGAAATATTTACAGAGGCTTTTAACCATTTTTAAAAATATTGAGTCATGTCTTTGAGAAACATTTAAACAGTTTGCTCATGTTTTAAACCTGTTTTGTGAAGTAGTATATTACATTTATGATTTGCGTATGTCAAACATCAATCTGTCTTGGCAATAGACACAATTAGTAATAATGAATGATTTTCTTGACATGTCTCTAGAGGCTATACCAAGATTTTTTGTTTTCTTCTTAACAAAGTGTAATTTCACTATAAGGAAAGAGAAAGAAAGGGTAACATGTTCAAAAAGTGAGTGTGAGCATCTCCAAACAAGCACGAGCCCTGCTGAGTGTCTTTTGGAAGAGGTTATATGTGAGTATTCTCCACAATGGCTTGGCCTGAAGTTCTATGCCCATGTAAGAGTTGTCAGATAAGTGTCATAAGGGAAGAATTTGGAACTTCTGGTGGTTTCATTAAATTGCCAGTGACTTTCTCATTTTGATTTTTTTTTTTCTTTGAGACTAGGGTTTTATTTCTGGCCCTGCACTAGGAATCATTCCTGACAGTGCAACTTTCTTTCATTCCTTTGTTCAAACTTTGCTAGAGTCATTTGATTATAAGATCTTCTTAGGTAGTCTTGCAACTGAAGGTGTATTTTCTCTGGATCTTCAGAAGCTCTGATCTAGGCCCTACTCTTCTTCTCCGCTCAGATCAGTTTTCCTTCCCTCAATCAGAGAGGATGACAGAATGGATATATCAGTCAGCTATTAGTTTACATGGTCACTCTAGAGGGATCTCCCTGGCTTCTTTGAACTGATATTGTTGCTCTTTAGAGGTAGGGGTAGATACAATACACAGAAGGATTTTCATTAGTCAAATATGAACCCACTGAATCTCCTTCATTGACAGCCCTAATTTCTAAGTATTGCTTTAATAGTTACAAGCAAGAAACAAAGTATTGGTGATGGTTAGGTCATTGGTAAGCTATTTTAAAAACTTCCAACTATTCTTTCTGTTCATCTGTAATTTGAGCGAGGAATAACTTCTGGCTTCTCGCTCTCAGATTTGAGCCTAAAATAATTTCTGTAGTTATGGTCTGTTCGCTTCCTGAACTACCAGTTACAGCAGCACCAACAGCAATGAACATATGAAATGTGTCTCATTACAATGAGACACTAAATTTAAATATATAAAATGTAATGCAATCTAAAATATTTATTATAGTACTACTGTCTTCCATACCTCATTCATCCTCTGAAAGTGTCAGTCCCATCATACTCAAGTGACATGTATTCCATCGCTTACAGAAAAAATCTCATCTGCTTGATCTCTACCTCTATTTCAGAATTAAAGATTTTCAGGAAAAACTATGGCTTCGGGCACAGCTAAGACAATGAAGGAGGAAGCCACCTGCCCCATCTGCCTGGAGCTGATAACTGAGCCAGTGATCATAGACTGTGGACACATCTACTGCCATTCTTGCATATTAGAAAATATTGAGAAACGACAACAGAGGTCACCAACACAGAAAATCTTTCAGTGTCCTTTATGTAGGACACAGTTTCAAAGGGAGAGCATCAGGCCCAGTAAGCAGCTAGAAAGCATCATTAGCAACATTAAGAAGATGGAGCAGGAGTATCTGTGTGAAGAACATGGAGAGAAGCTGAACCTGTTTTGTGAAGATGATGGTCAGCTCATCTGCTGGTGTTGTGAGCGGTCAGCTCAGCACAAAGGGCACACCACGGTCCTTGCTGCAGATGCCTGTCAAAGCCACAAGGTGAGTAGTGCCCAGAGTGCTTGACCAAGAACCCATTCCTCTTTTGCATTCATGGACCTGAAATAATTCAGTCTATTAATTCTCTTTTTTGAAACGCCATGGTACACAATTTCAAAGTTCTTCATGATAGGGTTTCAGCTATACAATGTTCCAACTCCCATTGCTTTCTCTAGTGTACATTTCCTGCCACCAATTCACCAGCTTCCCTCCTGCTGCCTTCCCACCCTTCAACCCCTCCATAGTCTGACTCTATGTAGATAGTATTCTCTCAGAATATGAAATATTTACTTCATCCAAGTCCCTCAGAATGTATCCTTGAAAATGTATAAGAACTATACAAGTTTTAAAGTCTGTGATCTCCCCTGAGATATATAATAAAAAGTTGTCCAATTAAAAAACCTTAATCAAACAATTTTTCCTTAGGAAAAGTTCCAGGAAACTTTGGCATGTCTGAGGGAACAAGAATTGCAAATAAAGGAATGGCAACGAAATATAAGAAAGCAAACTGCAAAAGTTCAGGTAAAAATTTGAGTTCAGGGGCTGAAGCAATAGCACAGAGGGTAGGGTGTTTGCCTTGGACACGGCCAATCTGGGTTCGATTCCCAGCATTCCATATGGTCCTCTAAGCACTGCCAGGTGTGATTCCTGAGTACACAGCCAGGAGTAAACCCTGAGCATCACTGGATGTGACTCACCCAAAAAAAGAATCTGAGTTCATTGACTTCAAATATGTTAGCTCTAAAGATCAGACGCATAGAAGGATTAGGCAAAACAAAAGAATATATTAATCTCATTCATCTACACTAAACAGATAAACCCCAAATTACTTATTTTAATATTCCTGGTTGGCTACTACTATGAGAATTGAACTCCTGTTTATTGACCTTACAAAAGTAACTGCTGAGGTGTCCAAATATCAGTTAGGAGAAGCAGAAGCAGTTCTCATTCCTTAGATTCATCTTGACTGGTTTACAATCCTTAATCATCTCAACATACTATCCCGTATGAGGTGTAGACCTCCAACTCAGAATTTACCAAAATGCAGAATCTGGCCTGTCAATTTCCATGCTCAGAAACTAATCATTGTAATGAACAGAATCTCTGCAGGTAGAATTCGTATTTGAAAAATTGCTGAGGATGAGCAGAAGATGGTTCAACTACACCTACAATTGCAAACTTAGGTCTATTTCTGGATTGACCAGACTACTCATGAGAGAAGCTCAGAGCTTTTCTGTTAACACTGATGTAATCCCGAAGTCTAGACTCAAATTTAATAAGTCAGTAGGATTATAATTATGTCTTTTCAAACATCCGCACTGATCTCTTTGTGTGAGCTTTTAATTTTTCTTGACACAGCGTATTTCCTTTTTTTCTCAATTTAACACTCATGGGTCGTGGCATGACAAAAACTCCAAGTAGCATGTAGAGAAACCCAAATCTGGAGAGAGAAACTTCCTGTTTCCTACAAGTTCTTTTTAATTCTACATAAATGAAACTACTATATTTTGATTTTTTAATCTAAAAATAAACATTACTCTGTGTTTGGAATATGCTTTCTTCACTCTAGTCTGAAAATCTGAATAAAAGAAATTTTATCGAGTGCAGCTTTAAGATATTTCATATGGTACTATACATGGAGGAGAAATCTTATCTATGGAGACTGGAGAATGAAGAAGAGGAAGTTCTTAAGAGACTGCAAGAAATTGAATTCCAGTTGGAGGAGCAAAGCCGGGAACTGAACAAACACATCCTGGAACTGGAGAGGAAATGCCAGGGCTCAGCCCAGGAGTTACTACTGCAGGTGAGACTGTGCATATGGAGGAATAGATGAAGGTGTCAGTTCCTGGGATTTTAGAGAAACTGGTGAGGAATTTGGAGTACTGGCCTGCTGCCTTGTTTCTTCAAAATGCACACAAGCATGGAGAATTAAAATGAATGTTTACTACTAAACACATAATTCTGTATATGTGTGTCCTTTGACAATCTGTAAAGCATCTGTGCAAATCACAAAACAGGCCCCTTGCATAGATATGGCAGTTCCCAGGGAACCACAGGAGAACTTTGGTATGCATCTGTTAGCCTCTGTCTAATTTCCTGAGGTATCTCATGTTAAATGATCTCCTTAAAGATATTCCTGTCAATTCTTGGGGGCTAAAAGCCAGTCACCAAAATGATTGTAAGCTTTCTGCTTCATTTGTTCCTGTATCTTGCTCAAACAGATACTCGGAGGCCTGGTTTTAGCTATAGTAATGATATTGCACATTGTGATAAAAACCTGGAAGTCCTTATTCTCTGTTCATAAAGGATGGAGGTGGCACAGCAAGAACTTGGACCTCAGTGCTAGTCTGCTGCTACCACATATGTGAGTCCGTCTTTAGGGCTCTATGTGAATTCATCTGTAAGGACCTTTGTGACAAACAATGTCTATTCTGACATCTTCAGAAGAAATTAGGTCATTGATTGAAAAATGTATGTGCTTGATGAGCAAGTTTGAGACAATTCTTGATCTACCTACACGCAGCTCACAGTTTATGTGGTTGTAGAAGTAATAACTCCCCATGTTTCCAAAGAAAGAAAACATTCTCTGTGGTTGATCAGATACGTTCATGATATTATACTGGTCCAGTGTTTCTCTCAGACTTTGTGCATGTACTGCTGAAGGTAAACAAGGGTAGAAGTTGAATATAAATGCTGTATTGCAGTGCTTAAACTGCTATTCTGTGGAGTGATATGCAGACAGGTGTTGAACCAAAGGTTTGGAAAGGTAGAAGAATGCTGTGTTAGTAAATTGGGATTGTAATTATTCCCTGGGAATTCACTAATTCATAGACGTGGAATGACTGCATTTATTCCTTGATATAATTATAGAGAAACATCCACCCATCAAAGTTCTATGAAATGCTAATTTTTCCATACCAACTTCTATCTTTCTTGGTCTATAGGATGTGACAGACACTTTGGACAGGTGAGTGCTCTTTGAATTCAGGAGGGAGGGAGAGTAGCTTTGCGGAATCCAATGGAATATCACTCTGATGAAATTTCTGGACTCTTCTTCTCTAGAATTTCTGCTATGGTGATAAGTGAACCAGAGGATGTCTCATTGGATATTCACACTATGCCTGATTTTGATAGCATTTCCCATCAATTGATAAAAATGTTTGAGACTGATTATGGTATGTGACATCTAAAATTCCCAAAATAATACAGGTGGGAGGAATACTGGGCAACACATTTTATTGCTCTTTTTTGGGTAGATTCTAGGTAGAGTATTGTTTTACTTGATGACTCTTTAGCTCTTTCTCTTCAGTTCACTAGTTGTGTCTCCGAGGGAAATATCCTCTATATTTGTCCTACATAAAAAACAAAATAATAACACTTCACACTCTGTGCACTGTGACAGTTTTTTAAAAAATCATTAATTACACAAAGCTTAGAGAAAAGTTTGGGATAACAATGATTTTGTTTATATCATTCAATTTACAGAGTAATTGTAGAAAGGTAGGTGAAGACTATGCTACAAGCAGTTTTAGAGCTAGACAAGGTAACACATTTGAACCATTTGAAATCCAATAGCTACCTACTCGAAAACTTTCTGTTTGTTTCTTCATTCTTTCTATCATTGCTTAAGTTCCAAGTAACCTACAATTGCATTTTCTTTAAAAAAAAGTACTCTGCAAACAAAGATATGTTTATGATTTGTTAGGCTATAAAATAACAACCACTATAAAAATTTCATTTTTAACATAATGAAAATCTAGTGTTTAAAAATAGTGCAGTGTCAATCCTGAGCATAGTATCACAAATCAAGTATTTACCTTGCATGCAGCTAACCCAGGATAGATCCCTGGCATCTGATATGGTCCTTGAGTTTTGTCAGGATTGGTTACTAAGTGCAGAGTTAGGAGTAAGTCTTGAGCAAAGCCAAGTGTGGCGTCAACTCCCCTTTCCCCACAAATAAGAAGAACAGATAAACTCACAAATTTCAGTTAACTGGCCACAGCTCAGAGGAATCCTCGTACTGGAGTCTAACAAAGCTTTAATAACCATGATTGCCGGGGTGATGTTTTCATCTGGAGAATAACACAATGCACTTCCAAGCTTTGGTGCTTATTGGTAGAATTCACTTCTTGATGGCATGTAGGACCTCTGGCAGTAGCTCTTTGCTGGTTGCAGGCTAGATGCCTTCCTGTGTTTCCTGAAGAACACTCTCAAATGCTTGTGCATGCGAGTCCCTACATAGCCAATTGTTTCTTCAAAGTGAGATCAGAAAACAAGAGCCTCTAGGACAAATCTGATGGCATCATTAACACTGCTATAGTAAACTATAATAATAAACATAAAAGTCATTATTTTTACTGCATAAGTTCACCGTAACTTGTACACGATAGGTCTCTGGTCCTGAAAGTTGTTATACAAAGTTGCCCAAATAGGGGGGTTATTACACACAGTCAACTGTTAGTCTTAAATCCTGAATGACTAAGGTGGGTAGGGGGAGCCACGATTGCGGTTCCTCTCTCTCAGCCCTGTGCCCCTTTCCCGCCGAACCGGACACCTTCCAGCGGGGACACCGGCCGCAGCTTCCCCGCGGGACAACATTTTGATATGAATTTTCCTGATAGTAAATGATGGAGAACATTTTTGATATCCTTATTGGACATCTGCATGTCTTCTATGAGGAAGAATCTGTACCTCTATTTTTTACCCTGCCTTGATTTTCTTTTCATTAGCCAATTTTGATGATTGTTCCAATAATGTCTATTTTTAACCATTCAAAGTAGCACTGTAGCACTATCCTCTGGTTGTTCATCTATTTGCTTGAGCAGGCACCAGTAATATCTCCATTGTGAGATTTGTTATTACTGTTTTTGGCATATCAAATATGTCATGGGTAGCTTGCCAGGCTCTGTCATGAGGGTGGGATACTCTCAGTAGCTTGCTGCGCTCTTTAAGAGGGGTAGAGGAATTGAACCCTGGTCAACCAGGTATAAGGCAAATGCCCTTCCTCCTGCGCGATCACTCCAGATTATTCAATGTATATAAATGAAATCCCAAATGTATTCCATCAGATCCTGTTAATAATTCATTTGAGGAGAGTTTAATAAGTGAGTTAAACAAAGAATATATTTATATTTTTATTTATATTTAGAAAATTGAATAAGGAATAAGGAACACTGAAGCAATTAGAGTCCTCACCATGCTGGGCCTCAGATATAGGCAGAGGGATTTGAAGAACAGGAGAGAGTGTGACCTGAGAGAAGTGCAGACTCTCAGATCACTAGGGAAAAGCTTCCATAGTAATGACTGTCACTCCACCACTTTGTTTCACACGTTCTCCCCAGCATTCTCGTTGGTAAGAAAAATGAAGTCAGGTAGAAGGAAGGAAATTAGTTTCCTAAAAGTCCTGAGGTTATAAAGATAAGGCATTACAAGATGGGGAGTGGTTTAGAGAAAAACAAACAAGCAAAAGTACAGCTAAGAAGCGTTTCCACATTCTTTAATTCCTGTGTGCTTCTGGTCTGCTTGGTGTTTAATAAATGTGCTTAATCAAATTAGGTGACTAAGTGACTAAATCACTAGGTTCAATCTGTTATCATGTTTTATTTTTTAAATTGTCCTATTGGGTAGTACTCTTATGACTATCCCAGTTTTCTCTTCCTTTACTTAGGTCATTTTGGGGTATATTTGTACTTGGCATATCCTCTTGTACTAATCCTTATGGTTCATGAGAAATCAAAGAACGTTTATACTTAAAGTTGCTCAGTGCCCATGTGTCCTGAGGCCCCAATGACATCTTGTGTGTCAATAAGGAAGTATTTAAATAACTGTCTTTCCCCATTCTGATACTGTGTCAGTGTCATTTGGAAACGGCGGGACCGCTTGGGAGAAGAGAATAAGGAAAAATGTCAAATATATTCATCTGTTCTTTTGCTGATATTACTGTGAGAAAGATAGAAATAATGCTGAGTAAGCACACGAGAGTACTTCGAGACTTAGTAGTATATTGCTACTATTACCAGATATTTTCCAATGCCTCGTAAGAACAGTCCTGCCCAGTATTAATCATATATTATCTATTCAATCCTCCCCACCATTCTTTGTGACTGATATGATTTCTATTTTACTTTTTATAATGAATTCTGATGTGCTGGAGTGATAGCACACTGGGTAGGGCGTTTGCCTTGCATGTGGCCAACACGGCCAACCAGGGTTCAATTCCTCTGTCTCTCTTGGAGAGCATGGCAAGCCACCAAGAGTATCTCACCTGCATGGCAAAGCCTGGCAAGCTACCCGTGACACATTCAATATGCCAAAAACAGTAACAACATGTCTCACAATTTGTTGTGAGACGTTACTTACTGGTGCCTGCTCGAGCAAATCAATGAACATTGGGAGGACAGTGACAGTGACAGTGACTGAATTTTGATAAAATGACTAGAAAGACTATCCAAAGCAGTTTTTTTAAGCATGGGCTGATAATATTTGGAATAGACTAAGTATGAAGTAACCATGTCAATTTGTTTTCTATCGTTTTTAATTTATTTGTTGTTTGCAGTTAAAGTTACTCTAGATCCAGATACAGCGCACAGTCACCTACTTCTGAACGAGGATGAAAAAAGGGCGACTGGTGGATTACCCCAAGTGAAGCATGAGACTCCCGCTAGGTTCAAAGACTTACCCTGTGTCCTGGGATATGAGACCATCGCCTTAGGAAAACATTACTTTGGAATATATAGTATAAGCGGACCTGAGTGGGATGTCGGAGTTTGTCAGGAAAATGTGCCAAGAGACAATGACATGAGACGGGATCCTGAGTCTGGATTCTGGGCCATCAGACGTTGCAAAGATTATGGCTATATAGCTCTTACATGTCCCCTAACTCCTCTTTCTTTGCAGCACGTTAACTATATAGGGATTTTTGTGGACTATGAGGCCGGACTTATCTCCTTTTATGACGTGGTAACTGGCTCCCACATCTTCACCTTCCCAAAGGCCTTTTTCTCTGAGCCTATCAGGCCTTATTTCCGTATTGGTGAAGATTCTGATCTGTACACTTAGTCAGCATGCTTTTAAAATATTTGTAAAAAAATGGATCTGTGAGATTTGTAGAAAAAAGGGCACAGTATCCTAATACTGTATCCAGTTCAAAGGAAAAGAATTCAAATACTCTGATGATAGAAATTTTGGTTGCTTTCTTCACTTTTTCCCATAACCTAGACAGATGCTAAGCTTAGTATATATCTAATAGATTTGCATGAAATGAATGATTATAAAGACTCTAAGCAAGTAGCACAAACAATACTTCCCTCTAAAGCACAGATGATTTAGGGGGAAGTTATTTAGTTACAAAGAACATATAGTCCTGTTTTCCTCTTTTCAGTGAATTCAATTTTATGAAACAAATTATCAGCCTAGGTAAATTCCCACAGGTGATTTCTTCTTAGTTAATAAAAACCTTTCAGAGAGAACAAAAGTGGAATGGGAGTGGAGGGAGGGATATTGGGATCATTGGTGATGGAGAATGGGCACTGGTGGAGATATGGGTACTTAATCATTGTATACTAACATGCAAGCACAGAAGTTTATAAGTATGTAACTGTACCTCTCAGTGATTCACTAATAACAAAAAAATAAAGATTTGTAAGAATTCAAAATTTTTTTAATTAAAAAAATAAAAATCTTTTCTTTGAGCAGCAAAGTGCTGAAATAATCCCCATTCATCATTCCTTGCAGTGTCTTGTGCAGATGTCGGGAGAACTGTCACTGTCACTGTCCTCCCATTGTTCATCGATTTTCTCGAGCAGGCCCATTAATGTCTCCATTGGAGACTTTGTTGTTACTGTGTTTGGCATATCGAATATGTCATGGGTAACTTGCCAGGCTCTTCCGTGGGGCGAAATACTCTAGCACAGTGGGTAGGGCGCTTGCCTTGCAAGTGGCCAACATGGCCAACCCGAGTTCGATTCCTCCACCCCTCTCGGAGAGCCCGGCAAGCTACCGAGAGTATCTTACCCATATGGCAAAGCCTGGCAAGCTACCTGTGACACATTCGATATGCCAAATTCAGTAACAATTGTTACAATGGAGACATTACTGGGCCCGCTCGAGCAAATCGATGAACAACAGGAGGACAGTGACAGTTGGGAGAACTAAAGCATTTAATCTCAGATGCTAGGATAGGTTTCTGTGTCACACAAGAGTAAATTAAACACCCATCCCTCCAGCAGTGCACATTTCCCACCACCAATATCCCCAATATACCCCCCTTTCCCACCTTCCCACTGCCTCCATGGCAGACAATATCCCCCATATTCTCTCTCCTTTTGGGCTTTATATCTTGCAACCGATTCCTCATTTTCTTAGTGATTGCTTTCTCCACCCCTCCATCCCACACCCCTGCTCATGAGACAGGCTTCCAGCTATGGAGCAGTTTTCCTAGCCTTTGTATCTACTGTCCTTGGATATCAGTCTCATGGTATGGTATTTTATACTCCACAAATGAGTGCAGTCCTTCTATATCTCTTCCTCTCTTTCTGATAAATTTCCCTTCGCATGATATCCTCCATATGTATCCACTTAAAAGCAAATTTCATGACTTCATCTCTCCTAACAGCTGCATAATATTTCATTATATAGATGTATCAAAGTTTCTTTAAACATTCATCTGTTCTCAGGCATTTGGGTTTTTTCCAGATTTTGGCTATTCTGAACAGTGCTGCAATGAACATATGGGCACAGATGTCATTTCTACTGGAGCACTGTATGTATGCTTCTCTGGAGGAAGAAGTATGGCAATTCATTGATGAAACCTAAAACACTGAGGGTTATAATCCAACAGTTATAGAAATTAGGTGAATCAATAATGATCAGAGATGTGGATACAGAATATTTTTTATTTTGGCAGGGGTTGGGGTAGGGTTGCGTCCACAGACAGCTGTGCTCTTGGTTCTGCCTAAGGGATCATCTTGTCATTGATTAGGGGGTTCCACATGCTGCTAGGTTCCACATATGCAGGGTTGGGTTTCACATGCTGCTGGCCTGTATAAAGGGCAGCCACTGACCTGATGTACCCAGTCTTCAACCCTCAATGTAGCTTTGGTGTCAAGGATCACACTGGCTGACCTAGAAAATTTCCTGGCTCCAGTAAATGTAATCTAAGCCTTTTTCTCAGCCAAAATGTTGGGAACTGCTGGGGGGTGGGGGTGGGCCGTCCAGCAAAGACACCGACCTGCCTTGTCTCTTCTCAACTTACTCTGTCAACTTAGAGAAAGTTCTTCTGCACTTGAGATAAAAGAATGAACTGGAATTATTTTAGAATTTTCAGGGTCGCCTAAAGGAAGTAGGCAGAGTGCTATCCCTGCTCTCTGACAGGCCTAGCTGAAGGATGAAAGAGAAAGGTTCTCTCCTGAAACCCTTCTAAATGTTTTCAATCTCTACCCCTTTCCATTTCCATTATTTGTCTGTCCATCATGTTGACAACTTTTAAAATTCTTTGCTAAATGAATTGGGTGTCCTGGTGTCCCTCTCTTTCTCCTTATACCTTACCCATACCAGTAGGATATTCAGTAGGGGAGAGAAACAGGTGTTCAAGATAAGTGGGAAGCAAAGAGCCCTCTCATAAATCCTGGCCGTGGTTCCCATGTTAGGAACTGCTTGGGACAGACATTGGTGACAGTCTCCCAGGACTTCCTGATCTCAGTGGATACCTGATCTATAGCCACATAACATCAGGCTGACAGTTATCTTATCTGGCCTTATCTATAGTAACCTCCAGGATGCATGCATCTACTGGCCTAAGATCCTTTGACATGCAAATATAAAGCTCAGGATGCACCTACTGCCATAAGACCCTTTGATGTACAAATGTTTATCTTGAATGTTAAGTAAGGTTAAGTAAAGCTCTTGTTGCTGACCTTACCATGTATGGTTATATTGTTTCTCCTTGTGACTGTGCTATCCCAGAACCTATATAAACAGTCTGTATCCCTCAATAAAGCCTGTCCCTTTTTCTCTCTGTTTCTAAACTGTACTCTGTCTCTTGTGTCTTGTGTTCATTTGGTCGGTCCTTCCCTGCACCTACAGATTCTAGGGCCTCCTCCGCGGGCCGCAGAGTGGTTTAGCGGGGCCCCCCCGCAAAGATATTTTTGTTTTTCCAGAGGAAAGAAGAATTCTGAGGGTACCCTGTAGAGTAAAAGAAAGAAATTGCACATTCCAAAAAGGGCAGGTGTCTCACTTTTCTTTGCATAGTGGATGGTCCTGCTGGATCCTGGAGTGATATTGGGGCTCTCAAATCTGAGGATACAAATAATGAACTCTTGTACCTGGGCTGAGAAATTCAAGATGAGTTTAAGGATTGGAGCACAACAGACAACTACATAAAATGCCAAATACCAGAGGAAGTTCTAGGACATATGAGAAGAAGCCAGCATGTTGTCATAATTCTTAAGGATATTCATTTACGTAAAGCACTTGGCCCGTAGTAGAACAACATGATGCGTTGGAGAGTTTCACAGACCCCTTTATTTGGTATTACTGAAGAATTTAACAGCATACTTATATACTCATACAGGAGTATGTACATTATATTGGGTTTGTAGAGCATGATGACAATTGATTCCTCTCGAGAAAATAGAAATTTGGTTAACCTTATAATATTCTCCATGAATAAGGGAGAAAATGGTTTTGAAAAATGACTTAAAGACTTGTTCTCTGGGCCTGGAGAGCAAGGAAGATGGTTGTCTAGTACAAGTGCAACCCAGATTCTATTCCTGATACCCCATAGTGTCCCCTGAGCACCATCAGAGGTGATTCTGGAGTAGCCAGGTGTGGCCAAAAACCAAAGGAAAAAAGAAACAGCTTGATATCAAGACATTTAAAATTGTGTCTTAATGACATTTGGATTGGAGTGATAGCACAGTGAGTAGGGCGTTTGCCTTGCACCTGGCCAAGCCGTTCTACAGGATTTCAATTTCTCCGCCCCTTTTGTAAAGCCTGACAAGCTACCGAGAGTATCGCACCCACATGGCAAATCCTAGCAAGATACTTGTGACATACTGGATATGCAGACACAGTAACAAGAAGTCTCACAATGTTACTTGGGCCCACGGACAGTGACAGTGACAGTGAATGATATTCGGTAGATATTGCACCTATGTTCCTTCACACTTACAATTGTTTTGGAGTTGTCTTCCCAGAATTCTGCCATAGTCTGGGTGTCACTCTGCAATAATAGTCCAGAGGTCTGATTCAACAGAAAAACCCACCAGAGCTTGGAAATGCTTACAGTTCTAGCACTAGACCAGATGGTGCTTAGAGGAAACTTTTTTTTTTTGTGGTTCAAATTTAGGGACTCTTCACTAAAAGCATCAGTGCTAGAAGTTTCTTTAGAGATAACACACATTGAATTTTATTGACGCTTTCTAATAAAGTTCATGGTATTAAACGACACTTTCTGTTGGGTAATACATACAAACTGCCACATGTGTAAAAAAATTTGGTATTGGTCATTGAATTTAACACAATATTATCTGAAATCTCTATTGAGATTATCATCTTGTTCCACGTATAGTATTTCCCTGGAAAGAAGATAGTGGTATTTGCATAGATATTTATATAGGTTAGGTCATGGTCAGTAGATGAATCTCAGTTTTTAAGGGACAGAAATGAAGTTAAATGTTACTACCTATTCAGGGTTGTTTAGGAGATCAAGGTTTTTATTTATTTGTTTATTTTTCTTTTTGGGTCATACCTGGTGACGAACAGGGGTTATTCCTGGCTCTGCATTCAGGAATTACCCCGGCAGTGCTCAGGGATCCATACGGGATGCTGGGAATCGAACCCAGGTGCTATCTGTGCTATCACTCCAGCACCAGGAGATCAAGGTTTTGATTTCAGCTTCAGTACCCTGAAGGTGAAGGAAGTTCACACATATTAGATAATTTAATCTATTTAAATAATTAGATGGGCTGGAGCGATAGCACAGTGGTAGGGCGTTTGCCTTGCATGCAGCCAACATGGCCGACTTGAGTTCAATTCTTTTACCCCTCTCGGAGAGCCCG